ATCCTGCCACAAGAGCATGCAGATGTATGTAAATCGCAAGGCTCAATACCACAAAAACATTTTGTAAGAAAAAAAATTAAAATTTATAAACACATAGATATAATAATATTAATACAACACAAAACACATTCTTCAACCTTAAAAGTTAGATGCTGTGAAAGGTGGAAACTTGGAAAAGTAGTGTTGATCGAGTTTTCATCCGACGGTGATAGAGGAAGTATTTCTATCATGACGTCAAAGAAAGGAGGACAGATATTGTGACAGCTTCCCAAGAATCTGATCGAACGTCAACAAAGAATGTAATACAACGTCCAGGAAAGTTGTATGGCGCTGGTCTCTGGTCACTATAGGAATGAAAAACATGTTCGTCAGTTACATAATTTCATAGATTAAACTTATGAAACAGCAATAGAGGGTTTTAAGGTAAGTAATATATTATATGTATATTTTAGGCTACGATCGTGTTTCGTGGTATCTCTTTATTTACAGGGTTAAATTGTTTTTTTTAAATTAATTAGTTTTCAAACCACTCCTTGCTCTCTATCACAAGCAAGAGTAAACCGCACACTGTAAATGTTACTACAAAACGAGAAACATTTTTTCGACATCAATGCAACCATTGCCAAACATGAGTGAAACATTAAACTCATCAGGTTTTATAATAGGAAATCCTTTGTCTATTTTTAGAATCAACAGTCAGTGATACAATTATTAAAGTTGCACTCTTGATTGCATCACTGATTATCACTCTCAACTCCTAGTAATCAGTATTTTACATTCTTCAGATCTGGCATGGTCTGCAATCGGAGGGGCAAATACTGTATATATAAATATAAGTAACAGGCTAGGGAACAGGAACACTACTAGTCAAAACACCGATTGGAAGTTAAAACACAATTCAAAAATACAATAAAATTGTATTTTTACTGTGAGTGGCAAAAAGTACTTACTACTTATTATTAGTGAATTCAGTGCTGAGATTTTTTCTAACTATACTCAATCGACCAGTAGAGGATTTTAGGATCTCTAAAATATTTACAGATGTGATGGTATGTTTTTTAGCGAAATCCTATCTGAATTTGTGCCTGCTGATCGCCCCAATCAATGGGGTGTAAAGTGGTGTAAAGGGTCTTAACCAAAGTAATCTGTCAAACGACAATAGGCTCGTGTTTAATGGGTAAATAAATGGTTACAATTCTGAAACTATCTTAAGTTTACTAGTCTTTGGGCAAGGACTTGGATCGGTTAGAAGTTTATCCTAAATGCTTTTGAATATCTCCATTTTGAATTGTCCACTTTCCTCTCTTAAAAGAGAATTAAAAGTGTTTCTAATGTCCTTACACTTGTTATGTGTAGTTTTAAACTATGCAATAACATTAAAAAAGTAAATTAAGTAAACGCAAAAAAACATTAATACAACTAGAATGTCATCTACTTTCATTTAAAACATGAAAGGTAAGGAAAGTAGGAGAGAGATAAAGTGTTGGAGGGAAAGGTACAATCGCCGAGGGAACTATTTGTTGGGTCTCTGTGAATACCCTGCATGATCTACAGTAGTTGAGAGATTAATGCAGGGCTGTGTGTCTTCTACATCCGACAGGCATAGGGTCTCCGGGTCAATCGATTGTTCCGACTTCTGAGCCACTATTGAATAAAAATACTTCTCAATTAAAAAAAGAACTAAAATAATAATAACAAGTAGAAAGTTTAGGAAAATATAATTTAATATCGGTAGATTGAAAAAGAATTGAGTACCTACAAAATCCACGTGAGTCACTTTGTAAGTTAACTTCCCAAATCAAAGTTTTCATGATTGAATAATAGTATTTTTGTCGTCAGTAAAGTGTTGTACTTTTACTGTTCAAATCTCATAGTTGTGGTTGGTTATAGACGTTTTCGTAGATGTGTATCATTATATTGTACTTTGTTGTGAACATTTTAGTTTTAATAAATTTTTTAGTGCGTATTCTGTTATTTAACATCATGAAAACTGCCAATATGCTTGGGCTCTGTTTATAAATTGTTTAAAAAACCAACTATGCAAACGTATTCCTGACCCTTTTATGTTGAACAGTTGACACAAGCTACTTTCCGGGTTAGTTTTACAGGAAAATGAACAGGTTGAACAGGAAATTGAACAGGAAAATGAAACGAACCTATTATGCTATTGGTGCTTATGTATCGATAGAAAATTACCTATATTTTCAACTTACACAAAAACATGTGTAAAATACATTTAACTTGCGATTTATTGAAAAAAAAAAATCGTTTGTTTTTATCTAGAGGTTGTAGTATCTATAACATTTGCTGGAGATACTTGGACGACATCCCCAATATTTACCCCCTTGGGGGTTTGTTATTTCCATTGTTATGGACTTCGTTAAGTTCTTTATTGAAGTGAATAGGTTTTCACATCTTTTAAGTAAAGACGAAACATTGACTAATTATTAAGTAAATTAGTTCTAAAAAAATATTACTGTAAAATCAGTAAAAGACATTGCCTTCTTGGAGGTCTCTTGTTTTTTTTTTTTTTTTTAACAAGTATTTATTTACAATCTATTCTATGCTAGAATAATAAGTAAATTTAATAACCATTTTAACATGGGTTAGTTACACTCCATCAAGTGCACTAACATACAAAAACTTTTAAAAAGTTTAACTAAAAACGATTTGGAAGGTCTATTGGATTAACTCTTTTGAGCCTACTTAAAAATTTAAATTTTGATGAGTGCAATGTGAGGTTGTGTGCTATACGCTTGTAATTCCCATTTCTTGAAATGGTTGCAAAAAGTGTAATTTATAGTTTAAATACTGTACATTGTTTTTATTTCACTGCGGGCTAGTTCCACACCTTAACTAAATAAGAAGATTTTAATGTAGACTATTTACTAATTGTTCGTCTCAAGACATTGTTACATCAGGCTCAGGACGTTAGTGTCCTTAGTTGTGTCAATTACAGCAACATCTTGCGTTAATTAATTACACTGGTCCCTTGATAATGGTCATTCAAAATACCTCAACCTCTTCTGTATCTGTCATCGTCCTCTGGGATTAAACTAAACTACGACACATTCATGGAGGGGTAAAAGGTGTATTACGAAAATGTGTCGCCAGTTGTATGTCCTAAATATTTGTAAGATTGTTTGTATGTCAAGAAATACAGTTTTTGTTTTTTGTTTTTTTTTTTTATTTGTAAAAACTTAAAGTGCATAGCACTTAAGATTAGCAAACATTTAGATTGGTTTTACTAACTCTATAAAATTTAAAAAATATTTAATAATCTGTTTGAAAATATTCTGATTATTTTTGCGGGCCTTTTATCTACGACCATTGATTTTATCTTAAAGTCAATGATTTTATAAAATGAAACCCGGAATAAATAATTTGCCACTATTGCTATAATGTGTATTCTCTTTATAATTCATACTTTCTAAAGATTATTCCACTTGAAAATGCTACTCAAGAAACTCAATCAAACACTTGACATCCCTGATCTAATCGTGTTCCATTTTAACCTTTAAGCGTTGGGTCCAGTCTGCATCCTGACCTTGACAACGGTGTGCGTGCGTCCTGCCCGTGTATTTAATAGGCCTATTTAAAGTTTTATTCGTTTTTCGTAATGTTTTCGTCCCGTCCGTGTGTATGTGTTTGTGTATGTACTTTTAGTAGAAAACAATGACAAGGATTTCACCATCCAACTGCAACGTTTTGACAATGGCCGATACAAGCCGAAACATGTAAACGACCTTCAATTAAAATGAGCTGTTTGTCGGATTTATAAGGTATGTAACCTATTTATTATATGGTCCAGTCTGCATCCTGACCTTGACAACGGTGTGCGTGCGTCCTGCCCGTGTATTTAATAGGCCTATTTAAAGTTTTATTCGTTTTTCGTAATGTTTTCGTCCCGTCCGTGTGTATGTGTTTGTGTATGTACTTTTAGTAGAAAACAATGACAAGGATTTCACCATCCAACTGCAACGTTTTGACAATGGCCGATACAAGCCGAAACATGTAAACGACCTTCAATTAAAATGAGCTGTTTGTCGGATTTATAAGGTATGTAACCTATTTATTATATTGAATACAACAGCTCAGGAGCTAGAATGGAAATGAATTTTAACCTTTAAGGGTGCGCTCTACCCCTGATGCGCAACCGAATGCAAGGGTTTGCAAGATTACTGTTTTCACCTGCTACATTGAAGGTAGAATCAAAGTTAAGGTCTCATATTAAAGAGGATGAAATTTTCTCTAGTTCTGCGTTTCATTATTTCATTTATTTTTAATACACACCTTATTAACTTGATTTGTAGTACAAGAAAAAGGGTATTTTCAACTAGCTCTAACTTATTGAAAAAACGTTATTTGAAAATTTGAAAAACGCAGAACTATGGATTAGTATTTGCACTACTATAAGCCGTTTAGAGTGCGTGGCTATCATTATTGGTTAATTCGAAAACAGTAATCTTGGAAACCTCTGCAAGCGCTTCTCGCGGCACTGTCCAATGGTGCAACATAGCTACTGAAGCCCGAACTGAGATTTCCAAGCTGAGGTAGAGCGCACCCCTAAATCACTGACATATGCATTCCACTCATCTTGCTGCATACATACTACCGCCTAGGGCCCTGTTTTAGTCCGGTGCTGTATACTGTGCTTCCCATTGACTGAATCGCTAAAGTGGACATCCGACTAAATAGGACCACGAAAATATAAAACACTTACCTGTATAACAATAATCCTTACTGGCCTAAGATTGTAAAGCATGCTCCACCTGGCATTAGGGGATCGCCGAAAAGTATAGCCAAATCAAAACCTCTCCTAAGTTACCCATTCATAAGTATTTTACTCGGAGAAGACACTGTTACAGGATGGGTTTCTACTTTGTCTTCGTATACTCGGTAATGAAATGAGAGTAAAAAGTGTATTTCTGTGGAATAAAACCATTATTTTTCAATCAAATATAAAATATCTTGCTGGTAAAGTTTTATTTTACTCGATCGTCTCAGTGTCAGTTTTGCTGCGCTCTCTGAGCTGCCTTTAGACGAGTCATCTCCACACAGGTAAGATACTCCTGGGCAATCTTCTTCTTCTGACAAAGTCTTTTAGCTTTTGGGAGCTCTTTAAGGATCTGTAATAAACAAGGTTTGCAAGATTAGGTCGTTAAAAATACGAGTATATCATATAGATCTAGATTAATCATAAGTCAAGATTAATCATAACGTCAGTATGTGATACACATAGTTATAAAAAACACGAGGAAAGACAACTGCTTAACAACCCCTCCTAAATACATCCAAAAACCTTTATACACACATCCTGTCCTCATCAATAGCTGCAACAGGCTACGAGGGAATATACAACATTCATAATATATACGGGGTCTGCCAGCACTGCTAACCAATTCCAGACAAGATCAATTTTTTGAGCAGTCCCAGCAAACAACTAAACTCACTGAAACATCACAATGAAGGTGGTGCAATCCAAAAGTTTTTATAGCATTTCTTTAACGAAAATTGTTAGAGGTTTACTAAATTAAAGATGAAAATGAACCAAATTAAGAAACAGCCCTTTACCTGAGGAAAGTTAGCTCACTTGCCTCAGACATTAACCGGAACTTTATCAACACGTCCGTGATCTGATCTAGTTAATGTATCGAAACGATACATTGAACCACTCACTGTCATCGATGCTGCTTACTACTTATTACTTTGTTGTTTTTTGCCTCGTGAAAGTTTATGCATAGCAATAAAATTTAACGTCATTTAGGATAAAAAGTCTCGAATTCAGATTTTCTAATTACTTTGTAGTCAGTTTGTGATTTTCACTTGGACCGAGAGCACAAGGCAATCTTTTTAGCAATCTTCACTCGTATTTTTTAGCAACTACTAAAGCTAAATTGTAAACTTACACTTACACCGAATTAATTGCTTAAACGTGTTCACAATGAAGCAAGCTATTTAAATTTATATGACCCAAAATACTGGTAAATTTCACCTGCCATTCGTAGGTGCGTCGAAAAACTAACTCCATGAATATTTTCTAAAACCATTTTCTAACTAACCATGAATTTTTATTGGTATCGGGGATTTAGTATATACGATGGGTCAATCAAATTCAATTCATAGTTTTTTGGGTCTCTCTGTTTGGATAACTTTTAACTGTATGAATTTGAATATGACGGAGTGAATTAAATTTAATTTGTGGTATAATGTAAAGTGGGGGGGAGCTAAACTAGTTCACGTTTAATTCAATAGAATAATTTAAATCAACGTAAAATAAACAACAATATTGGTTGCGACTTAGTATAGTACTTGGTATACTGGTATATTTTATTATCATATTTATGTAGATTGACGAGCATCATCTCACCAACAGTGCACAGACATTGCAGTAAATAGCAATGCAGTTTATTTAGATAGCGGACATGTTTGGTTGTAAGATTAAATTGGACGTTCAGGTGATTCAACAATTACATCGCAATGCACCATTTCTCTTTGCAAATGTGTTAGTCGACCTAAATAGTAGAGATATATTTATTTTTCCGAGATGTGTTTCATGTGTCATGTACATTTAGAACGAAAGGCAAATTTTTGCCATATCGTTTTTGCTTTTCTTTAACCACAATTGTTGGTAAGGATTAGTTCCACATTTACATTAAATTTTTAAATTTATATTATCTCAGGGAAATCAAACATTTTATAGTAGGCTAATGGTATTTTCATAGTTTTTATTTTAAGGTTGACAACACTACAACGCCTGTGGTTGAAATAAATCTGAGCTTAAAACAAAAAATGTCAAAAACAAGTAAGTTTTAATTAATTAATAGCTGTTATGTTGTGGGATAAGGTAAAGGATTACGCAGGTAATTTACTACAAAATGGAACAAAACAATAAAAAGAATTAGCGCCGCTACTTTTAAAGTACAAAACGAAGTCTGTTGACTATCTGTACTACTTTGGTAAATCTGCCGACTGTTATTACTGGTTCAATTGCAAGTGGGACAACGCCCATCTCCGCCTATGACAACCCCTTATCACCACATCTCAGCTATCGAGAGCCATGCCTTGAGGTTAGCGTTTCCCTGGACCAGAAACTAAAAAGCTTACGACGCCCACACCATACCACACCTCAGAGAATTCCCTTAACGCCTCAACACCCAACCAACCGCAACCACCTGATTAATAACAACACATCGAACCATAAAACTTCAATGGCCCCGTCAAATGCCCACAATCATTCAAACTTCGATTTGAGCTGTTTCAGGTCTCACCTATTGTAGCTCATGCCACAACCCTACCCGAAAATTCCACAACTATCGACCGATCATGATCCACACACACAACCAACCTCAAATTTTGAAACCAACAATTTTACCCTTTCCAGCAGTTGTCAATTCGTGGTTCATAAGCGCTTGTCGAGCAGCTGCAACCCCTTCCCCATAAGGCTGTTGGAGACATAGTCTTAAAACAGCTGCAACAGGTTTTCGTCCCACTTGAAAGACACGACAACGCAACACGGGATCGATTTTGGACCCGGATCGCAAATTTTATTGGGAAATCAATCAATTAAGCAACCATATGACAGAACTCTCACGTTAGTACTGTAATAAAAAAATATGGACCTTAACCTTCGAAAAGAAGCAAAAGGTACTACGCTACAACCAACAGAGACGTGTGTTTAAACTTTTAATACGACAGATACTAACGTTAGTTGATTGGATTTATTTTTATATTATTCCATACATTGAACTTGATTTGCTTGACTGCTAACCAAGTTATTTTGTCAACATGCAACATATTTTACCATTCAACACTATATTTTTGTTTACCTCGTCCCGTCCTTTCTCACAGACAGTTCCAAAGTCCAAGCGGAAGTTTTTCACACTCTCGCCGTAGATCTCGTTGAAGTCTGATGTCGTCAGTTTGTTCTCCGTGTCAAACTTGGCCTCCATGTCCGCCAGCTGTGACGTTACTTGCTTGTCTTCGTCGATCAGCTGTTTGTGCGTGTCTTGCATCTGCTTCACAAACTCCTTGTGGTCCATCCTGCGAATGACATTTAAGTTAACTTGACCTAAATAACGAAAAACTATAAAGTAGTTAGAATTGCTGATTAGTATTAGTTTTGGATTAGTTGTTTATTATTTACTGTTTTGAAAACACCTCGCCGTTTTTAAGACTTGGTTGGGATCACAAATAGGCTACTAGATAAATACTGGTATGGATCATAAACATAAATAAATGACGTTTTCGACCCGATGGTAAACAAAACCCCTATACTAATAGCATTAACTAACATACGGTTTTGTTTACTTTCGGGCCAAAAACGTCATTTGTTTATGTTTATGATCCATATCGGGTCTTTTCTAGTATTCGTGGTTGGGATACTAGCATGCGTTGTAGGCAAACTTTAAGATGGAAATCGCAAAAACATGAGTGTAAACAATAGGCTAAGTTTTGTGTAACAGTAATGGAATGAAACTAGGGCCTTAGTATTAACATAACAGAAAGTTCGTCACAAATTCCAAAGATCCGATTTATAACTAATATTCTCCTTATTTATTGGATGGTTTGTTTGTGGTAAGAATTGTTCAATAAGAAACATTTTCCTCGTTTGAGTGATTTGTCCTCTTTCGATAAAGGTGAATCTACAGCTGAGGGAGGCTCTAAACCATTATCATCATATAGCTAAATGTAATTTGGTTTTGGCGGGACTTGCACATCGACCTCAGAAATATAATTCCCGCGTTTTGACCACCTTCATCTACTTTACCTTCTCACTGTAATTTAGGCCTTTGGCCAGCTTCCCTTAAAGCTTACTTAATAATATCACGAAACTACTATAGTAGGCCTACGTGATTTACGATATTATATACTACAAGATTCGACTGGTGTGGACACAATAAAAATGTGTGTTGCTTTACCTCTACCAAAGAAGTGAAGTTAATAGAAAAATAAATTATGTGTAATAATTAACTTTAAAAAGTAGTAAATGTTTCTGATTTAGGATTTCAAAAACATCTACCACAGTATTACTATTTCATTACGCCGAATGGGTTCTGAAAACTTCGTATTCGTATATATATTATGAAAATGAATATTTTCTAAAGGCATCTCATGTAACTCTTGTAAATTGTTGATTTAAAACTAGAGTGTGATAGATACAATATGATAAGCTGTAATTGTGATAATAATGTTATTTGAGATCAATTACAAAATAGAATAGATCTGTAGTTTCTATCACATTTATAACTACAGATAGTGAATGTAAACGCATTATTCAGAGATTATAATCCATTGTTTTCCATTACGTACATGTATTGTATTTACTCCCAAGAGGATTAGTATAGGTTTTATTTTTAATTGTAATACACGAACAAATAACACGTCACATGATAGGAACAAAGTGATTCAAAATATAATCTTTTTAAGTTATACAAAAATATATTACCTTTGTCCGTATTTCTAATTTGAAGTACCTTCAAAGTTATCCTTATAATTTTCTTTTGATACAAGAATTTAAGCTGTATAACCTAAACTAAGCCAACGCAAAATTTTTACATTTCAATCCTCCTTGTATTGCCTAGCGACAATATTTAGCTTTTAAACCCCACGACAAGAGTTACGTCATACAATTTTCCTGGACTTTGTATTACGTTGTTTGCTGACGTTTCAGCAGATTCCTGGGAAGTTGTCGTTGTCACAATATCTGCCAACCTTTCTTGAGCGTCACGGTAAAATACAAGTTTTCCTCTTTCATTTGAACTAAAATAAAACTGTCCTCTTTTGATGTGTTATTTTGTAATAACTTTTAAATATGATAAGTGTTGTAAAAACGTAAGGGTAAGGCAAAGAAAGTACCATCACTAAAGGACTGTCACCTTCAGTGGTTTTAGTCTGACAATTCTGTAGTTGAGCTTTTAATTCATCTGCGTCCATCGTTTTCTTCTCCTTTTTAATGTTTGAATTTTTCCCCTTTGTATGGATTTCTTTACTTATCAGCTCTAAGCATTTTGTGTTTTCAGATTGGGTGATGCCCGGTGATGCTCTTTTTGGGTACACATCTTGTCCTGTTCTATGTATCTTACTGCGTGTAGACAGGCTTTTATTCTAGTCCAGAATCGTAGTGGAACTTTGGTTCTTATCATCGACTGAAGAAGTCAGCCATACTGAACTCACCGTCACTAATAACGAATCCAACCTCAGTGGCTATTGAAAATAGTTATTTCATGACAATATAATACGCTTTTACTAATTGAATTTTTTTTAAATTTCCTTTAGTTTTCACACTTTTCATCAATGAAGGACGACCACATTTTTTTCTGGTAATTAAGAAAATCGAAAAGTCGCGGAAGTTCAATTTAGGTATTTTGTGATTTAGTGGTGTGAAGAATTGATAAAGATGAAAGACTTTTGTCATTGCGCCATTCAAGTTTATCGGTAATAATTCCTTTACAGATAGAAAATTGCAATCGTAAATTTATACTGTTACATCAATTTTGAAAATTATATCCAGGAATGCTTAATAATTTCGGTGTTAATATGCAATGCTGATGATATTGGGATATTGCAACCAAAGCTTCCACGGGTTATATCGATTGTTGGTATTGTGTGATGTTCCCGTGTAATCATTAGGGAGGAATTGCATTTCATTTTACCACAAACTGCAATAATAACACGTCATCCAGTTTCCGATCACAGTTAACCTACTTCAATTTCAACATCATGAATCTATTCAGCATGACAAATGTTTTTAGCCTAGAAGGTAAATTATCTTTTTTACATCGACCCTTTTCTTAATTGATATATGTAGCCAACAAATAACCAATTTAATCGTAAAATTGAAATGTTTAGATAGGCCTACTTGACATATTTAATTATAATTAGAATATTTTCAATATGGGTAATACGATTGTAAATTAATAGGTTTCAATAGGGTTTTAGCAGGTGTATTTTTTTGCTGACATAACTAATTTTCCAAGTACGTTTTAAACCAAACTATAAACTATAAAATTTTGTGGTGTTAATTTTCGAGATATTAGTCGTTGAATTAGTGAATTAAAAGCATTGTAAAACGAATTAACGTAACTTAGATTTAATTCATGTGTATCATCCAAGACGAGAACTGTCAAGGTTACTAAACAAAATTGCGTGATTATTGTTGTTGTAGGTGGCCTACTATTTATTCGTTGATATAATACGTGCACATACTTGATCTAATTGAAATATACTTCAGATATACTCGATAACAATGGTATATAGATGAAAATTACAAATGCATCATGATAAGTCATAGAATATGTTTTAGACCTCTTGGAACCCCACAACACGAGAAAAGTCATGCAGGGGGCAAGAATGCCTGACGACCCTAAACATCTGTTGATCCACTAAAATTGGTTTTGTAAATCTTGATCCAAAGAAAAAATACAAAAGTTGATAATTAGATTTAGTATTTTATCAGTAACAGTGTGATTAGACCCTTCCATTGAGATAATTTTAAAAAAATTACTCGATGTTTTTTTATTCATGTCTCAACTAAACATAAATATTGGGCCCAGAAGCAAGTTTTTCTAGGAGGCACGGTATTCCTTACGATTGCAGAATTTAAAAAACGATGACTGAGAATTGTGTTATTTATTCACGAATCTTGACACGACAACGTGTTTTTGTTAGTATTTATTATCAACAAAATTTAAAACAACCAAATAAATGTTATGTTACGTAATTACAATGCTACAATCTGTTATATGAAATGTAAAGAACCTAATTATATTTAAAATTCGGTCATTAAATCTTTTAGGGTATAATTGAAGTGAAGTAACGCCATCCTGTAGTTAGTAGGCAAAAGTTGTTTTATTCCAATTCTATTTCTTCGGAAGAGTACGCCTTTATCGTTTGGTTTACTGTTGCGTGGTCAATAAACAATACATAAACCATCCATATAATACCAACATTGTAAAACTAAGGTTTGATGACTTGGTATTCGTGTTTCTGACGACGTCTGAAGCGGGACTGTAACTGTTACAGAAACCAATCAACCTCGGGAAGCGTTTGCTTTGGACAGGTCCGAGGTAATCTAGAGTAGTTACTGTACAGAGGCACTGATTGAGCAACTTGGGCGAACAGCATTATGGGTAAAGTTGTAAATGGAATACCACAAAGTTATTGGACACAAGACCACAAAAGTTGTTATTTGTGCAACTATTGTGCAAAGTACCTATTTAAAAAAAGTGTTATTGTTTTATTATATCGATAAAAAACACGTTGCAGATAAATTAATTATACAGTACATGGAGTCCCGTAACTCTTCGGACACATGTATTTAGCGTTATTGCTTAGGTCAAAACAAACACAGTTCACCATAGAAACATAGGTCTGTGGTGCCTAGTTTTTCATCTGTCTGTATTTATGTGCTTTTTTACAAACAAACAAAATTTAACAACTCCTAAACTGTTTGAGATACACAACAACAAATTTGATATTGAGACAAACTTTTGAATTTTTGGTCTTACGTTACAATTAACCACTTAATAACAGGAACAAAAATAGTTGATAGTAAATTGAATCTATTAGAGATAATATAACTTATTAAGGTATACTAACAGTAACTAATAGCAAAGCACATCGGGGATTAATTGAATTAAGAGTTAGAGCTAAATGTTCTCTGACCTCATAGATAACTCATAGTTAACTGCTATCAGCCTGATCTACAACAGCTGTCCAATGGTTGCTACAGTCGATGTAACCAGCTAATCTGCAACATCGGTGATAACTCTTGTACAGTCAGAGACAGGTAATATGTCTGCTGACCTAAATAATAGTAAATCTGCAATGGTAAAGATAAATTTAGGGTAAATGCTAAATGTAGATTTTACTAAATTTAGGGTTTCGTTACTGGCATCATTGACTGTGAATACTGCAAGTATACAGTATTTCGGCCCTATTATCAAATGTGTAGCATGTTTAATGGGTGGTGTCATGTAATCTTAGAGAGCGTTTGTGTGAAAAATATTTTTATATTGATTTATTAATATTCATGTATCTTACTAAACTTAACTACTCAGTTACCCAAATATTTTACACTATGCATTTAACCATTACTGAACATAATCATATGTTAAAACTGTGTTTAGTTTATATATAAGTATAACTAGTCTACTAATCCAAAAGAGAGGAATTATCTGATGCTTTATCTTTCCCGCATCCTTATTTTAACAATTCTATAATTTACTTTTGGAAAATAATTGTCAAAAATGTTTAAGAGTTTTCAATTTTGACAGTTAAGTTAGCAATGGATGCCAATACAGTATCTGAACGTTATGAACATTTTTGTGAAAGCAAACATAAGTTGGATGTAAACATTTTCGTGTTTCAGCTGATGGCAAGGCGGTCCATTAATAAAGAACAAAACGGTGAGTTGTGTTGGCAGTTATGCAGAAAACGTCACTGCAACTTCAACTAATTTACAAAACAGTGAGTTGTGTTGTCAGTTATGCAGAAAACGTCACTGCAACTTCAACTAATTTACAAAACAGTGAGTTGTGTTGGCAGTTATGCAGAAAACGTCACTGCAACTTCAACTAATTTACAAAACAGTGAGTTGTGTTGGCAGTTATGCAGAAAACGTCACTGCAACTTCAACTAATTTACAAAACAGTGAGTTGTGTTGGCAGTTATGCAGAAAACGTCACTGCAACTTCAACTAATTTACAAAACAGTGAGTTGTGTTGGCAGTTATGCAGAAAACGTCACTGCAACTTCAACTAATTTACAAAACAGTGAGTTGTGTTGGCAGTTATGTAGAAAAAGTCACTGCAACTTCAACTAATTTACAAAATATAAATCACAGACTCTCTTGCTTCCTTAAACGTTACAATGCGTTGCACTATTTTCTTACGCTTCCAATTTCACTATACAACTTTTTCAAAAGTATTGATAACCCCTATAAACTTAAACCAGGAAAAATTACCCCTGCATACTTTTATATTGGATAAAAGTACACTTTTCGTTCAGTATGATAATTGTGTTTTGAGGCCAGCTTAAAAATTCAAAGAGTAGATCTCCATTGGATGACTCCTCATTTTGAAGCAATTTATAAACTTAAATTCTAATTCTAATTTATAAAATAAAATCTATCAATTTTTGATCCGTGAAAACTAGAGATCTAAATGGTGGTCATTTGAAAATGAGTAGAAAATACGTTTGCAGGGAATCTCTCAGGCTGATGAAATGTAATAATATTGCCATTTTGTACTGGGTTGAGGTAGAGACCTTTAGTTTTCGCTAACATTCTTCTATTGTAAAGGCTTTTGAAATGCTATGTTTTTTTATGGTAATTTGCATTTAAAAATTTAAGCTGCCAAAAATCCCATGTTTGGGTCTCAGGAAAAATTTCCACACCAACCAACAAGTGTACTTTTATGCCATGTAAAGGCTTTTCTGGTTTAACCCATTAAAAATACTATAGGAGTTTTTCAAAATTTTCTTTGAAATAACCAACCATACGTTAGAAAGTGAGAGGGGTGGAGATATAAGGGATGTTCTGTCTACAAAGAGACGCGATGTGT